ATATTCTGAGCACAAGGTCACTTAGCCAGCCAGCTGCCTGGTACAGACTGGGCGAAAGTCCTTGTGCCCAAGTCAAAGCATTTTCAAAGATTCTTTTTGTAAACTGTTTTATGCTTTTTTTTATGATCTGATGATGTATGCCTTTGTCAAGTTCTTTGTTTGTAAAAATATAAAAACCTCGCACTGAAAAAGTAAAATCGCAGCAGCATTTTCAAAACACATTGAGAGTGACTGTCAATTTCCTCCGCCGTATCCTGAAATCTTCTGTCCTTTGTCCTGTTCCCCCACAGTCTGAGTGGTTCCCCTGAGCCGGTCCGTAGCACTATCTCATATTCAGTTGTAAGCTCTTCATTTCTCATCTCCTGCGTTTCTGCTTTAGCTATTTTAACACCAACCCTCCTTCCTTTTAACCACAGATCTACTTCATTGCAACACACATGAACTACTTGCAGTTTTTACAATGGACCCTTTTCATTTACGACCTACAAAGATTCAGAACATGAATCAGTTATGACAACCATTCCAAAAACTCAAATGTGAAACTTCTGATTACTTTTAGGTAAAATGACACCTGCTGATACATCCCAATCCAGCCCAGCAGCTTTTGTGTGTGAAATACACCTGATGATGATGTGGGGAGTGGGAAGTAGAAAGAGCAAGAGTGGGAAGAGCACTGAAGTATCAGTGAAGTGAACCACTAGAATGACGGCATCCAAGTTGGCAAAGTGAAGACATCTAGAAATCAGAATGAACAAGGACAGGAACTTTTGTGAGAAATCAGAATGGATGAAGGAGAGAGAGGACGTGGAAGACCCACTACTCTCCAAGTCTCCTAAACCTGATGTGGTGGTTTGAACGAGATGTCCTCCATAAGTCTCAGGCATCTGAACACTTGGCCCCCAGTTGATGACACTGTTTGGGGAGAAGGAAGGATTAAGGGCTGTGCCTTTGCTGGAAAAGGTATGGGGTTGTTTCAAAAGACTAGTGACATTTCAAGTTAGCTCTCAGTGCTGTCTATTTGTGGGTCTTTGTGTTAGAGTTTCAGCTGTTGCTGCAGCGGCCTATGTCCACACTGCTATCATAGTCTATTACCACTCTCGAACCCTAAACTCCAAATAAATTCTTTCTTCTGTAAGTTGCCTTGATTGTTTTGTCACAGCAATAGAAACACAACTAACAACCTTAATAGTAGCTAAAAGTTGAGATGATCGCTCCAAAAGAACATCTGGATAAGACAAATGTTAACTCTCTACTTGATCTTAGTGCTCAAACATAGCACACACTGCTCAACTTCTCAGGAAGAATCAACCAGGAGAATGAGAAACAGTATGCTCTTTGTAGAATGAATGAAGGTAGCAAGAGGATCCTGAAAGAAAGTAAGATCAAGATTGCAAATCTATACTTGGGTCAAAGAAAGCTGAGGGATATTCAACTGCAAGATCCATGCAGGAATATGCTGCTCTCTAGGCTGATGATGAAGAAAAATCTTGCTAAACAGATGCCAACACCTGAGGTTTCTCCTAATCTCTCTCTCTACCTCTCTCTCTTTCACAGCAAACTCTAACTACAAGTATCATCTATTAGTGGTGTGAAGTTTCAAAAATTATATAAACTACAAGAAAACTGACTGACTATTGCTGGAGATCAAATTTTTCACAATTAATCACAGATGACATAAACAAAAAGGGAAGGATTTAATAAACAAAACAGAAATTTATATCCATTCTAATTCTTAGTAAATAAACATTGTTCTTAAGGACTTGAAGTGTAAAATGACAATACAATAATGAAAATCTCACTGAATTTCAAATAATGTAGTTTCCTGTTCTCTGACCATAATAAATTCAACTAAAACTCAATATCAAAAGGTAATTTCTAATGGAAATAGAATTAAAAGCTACTTCTAAAAACTTTTTAGAATTATGTTCATTTAATAAAACATAAGGGCAATTTTCACATGAAAAAGAACTAAATGCCAACAAAAATATTACATATAAAAATGTGTGAACTATCAAATAGCATGCTTACAAGCAAGTATATATAGCCTTATGGAGTGACTTGGGAAAACAGAAATTAAAATCATAAGTTAATTAGGCATAATAAATTTGAAGAAAACAATAAGGAGGTGGTAATGAATAGGAAAAAAATGGTGATCAAAGTATCTTTAAAAAAGACAAAGCTATTTCCCTTTGTTTGTTTGTTTTTCACGATAGTGTAACAACAGGCCTGGCTGTCCTGGAAGTCACTTTGTAAACCAGGCTGGCCTCCCAGGGGATTAAAGGCATGTGCCACCACACCCAGCTCCAAAACCTATTTAAAAAAAACAAAAAATCAAAAAACAAAAAAACAAACACTGCTTAGTTGAAAAGGTAGGCTTAGAACATAAGACTAAAAACTTCAGACATTTTAAGATTCATGAGATCTCTCCCCAAGATTACACAATCAATAAGCAATTGCTGAGAAGAACTGCATAAAAATTGGTTAGGGAGCTAGCTCTGGGAACGCAGTTTTTACATTACAGTGATGCAACTGCAGAGATATTCATGTTCTTCAACCATGCTCTTGAAAATGACCCCAATGGACTCACTGACTCACCAGGCTAGACTTGAATGCATGTTTCTTTGGTCTGTTGTTAGTGCTCTACCTGAAAAGAATGGATGTTTGTTCCATGTCTCCCAAAGAAACTAACAGTAGTACATAAACAGCTAGCAAGATTGATAAAGAAACAGAGTCCTACCTAAAAAAAGAATAACGCACATTAAGAGCATACCTATATGACAGATACATGATACATAACTTAAAAGAGTTTAAAAGGCCCTGGTTCTGGAGCTCTGTGAGAACCAGGAGCTTAAACACTAAGTGTAAGGAGCCAGGTAATGGGCAGTCATAACTGACTAGAGAGCCCCAGCTAGTAGCAAAGAATAAAACCCAGGCTAAACTGAAGATAATATGAAAATCCCTAAGTGAAAGAACAGAGAACTACCTGCAGACTACTATTGTAGAAAACTATTTTAAGGTGTGTTACTTTTGTTTATGCTGCATATGTTTAACTCTGTAAGGGTGTGCTTCTTTACCTGACTAAAACACCTGATGGTCTAATAAAGCACTGAATGGCCAATAGCAAGTTAAGAGAAAGGATAGATGGGGCTGGCAGTCAGAGAGTATAAACAGGAGGAAAAATCTGGGAAGAGGAAGGAAGAAGTAAGAAAAGGAGAGGAGGACACTAGAGGTGTTAGGAAAGTTAAGAAAGATAAAAGCCGAGAGACAAAAGATAGATGGGATACTTTAAGATAAGAAAAGCTGGCTAGAAACAAGCCAAGCTAATCCCAGCCATTTATAAGAAAGAATAAGACTCCATGTGTAATTTATTTGGGAGCTGGGTGGCAGGCACCTAAAAAGAGCAAAGAACAAAAAAGCCAAAGAGTGGAAAAGCCAACAACTACAGTCCAGAATGATGAAGATGATTAAACTGTTGATGACTGTCTATGGGCAATGCAGATAGAAATTACAACAGAAGACAATTATATACTCCTAGAATATCAATATAGGAAAATGTGAAACTAGATCGCTACCTCATATCACTTCATAAATAAAAAACAATTCAGGATGTACTAACAATGAAAATATGAAATACAGTCTACCAGTGTAAATATGAGACAAATTATTACTGCTTTACATTTCTTCTAGGACAAAAGGGCTTCTTAAACAAGACAGACAAGTCTTACTAAAAAGAGAGGAAACAGAATTCTGATTACATCTGAGCACTGCTATTTATCATAAAGCATAAAGAAAACTTTAGTAATTACTTTTTCAGGGCTGCCAAGATAATTCAGCAGGTAAAGGATCTTACCATCAAGCCTAATGGCTTAAGTTTAATCTCTGAGATCAACATGATGGAAGAAAAGGATCAATTTCTACAAGTTGTCCTCTGACCTACACACATAGGCTTGAACACATATCTTGGTGTACATGGAAACACGCATGCACGCGCGCGCACCCACACACACAAAATTACTAAATGTAATAAAAAGTTTTCACTAAGAGTATAAAGAACATCAAAAGACAAGCTAAGAGCCTGTAAAACAAAATCTAATTAAAGATTAGCATCTAAACTATGTAAGAATGTTTGCAAGGGCTGGGAAGATAGGTCGGCCTTGCAAGAACAAGAACCAGAGCCCAACAGAACTTATGTAAAAAAAGAGTCAGATATGGTGGTGTAGCCTAATCTATCTACATGGTGAGTTCCAGGCAAGCAAGAGGCCTATCTCAAAAACAAACAAGACTCCAGAATGGGGGTTAGGAGTTGGAGATTGGATGAGAAGACAGTACCTAAAGACAGTTTAAACTGTCCTCTGGTTTCCACTCATGCACACACAGAATGTACATGCATGCTAACACATATGTGTACACACATGAGACAGACTGTCTACAAATAATAAGAAAAAGATAATACATAAAGCTAACTGGTAAACTCTTGACTGGGATTTCACAGACAAGGAAACTTATAAAACAGACAATACATGAAGAAATACTGAATGTCACTGTCTATCAAAAAACACAACTTCAGACTACAGGATACCATTTTAAAGTTTTCAGAATACTAAAATCTATAAGAATTAACATGAAACATTGGCAAAAAACACAGAATGGGGACACAGCTAATAAATATCAAATACGTAGAAAACTGGCAAAATCCTGCTGAAAAATAATTGACATTACCATGTGAAATCAAACATTTATATGCTCTTCTATGGGCAATTCTCAATTTTATAATAAATATACTTTTAACTAGCATTTTAAGTCAAGCCATCCTACATAATAAAAATAACAAAACTAAATCTATTCACACATACACTGGCAAAACAGTTACATAAATTCAGCTAATTGACATAGTAGAGCACCACAGAGTAGTGAGAGTGAATTAACTACAGCTGAGGGCAATAACATGAGTGAATCTTAGAAGTGTACAACTGAAAAACAAGACTTTCTCTCAGCCCTACATCAGTACTTAGCACTTTGTCACCAAGGAAGTCTCCCAATCCTACTAGCAAAGAAGGAAAATGGGTTTTGTTTGTTTGGTGGTAACCATGGTCTCATTTTTCACTTCTAATTTCCTTTGAAAATGCCATGATTCCATGACTGAAAAAAAAACAAAACAAAACAAAAATGTGAGTAATTGTGGATAATGGACCTCAAAAGTTTGTAGAGCAGACACAAAATTAAATGAAGCATATTTGAAAGCTGCTAAGGTCCAAAGAGGTCACCAAATAGCAAGCTGTCACTTAATTCTTTGCAATTATTTTCTGGTTATAAGTCTGAATATACATCGTTTATATAATTAATGCTTATATATAGCCTTTTATCTTTCAAGATTTGCTTGAAATATACACATATTTGTAAATTTGATGTTCCTCTAAAATGTAATGCTCCGTGCAAGCTTTAAGAAACACATTGAATGGATACTGTGGTGGTTTGAATGAGAATGATTCCCAGAGGCTCATGTGCTTGAATATTTGGCCTCCAGTTGGTGGAACTTTTAGGGAAGGATTAGGAGGCCTTGTTGAAGGAGGTGTGTCACTGAGAGCAGACTTTGACTCACATTTTCCCAGTGCACTCTGTCTCCTGCTTGTGGATCAGGATATGAGCTCTCAGCATGTCTTTGCTCCGTCAACATATACTTTAATCCTCCTAAACCATAACCCCATGAAGTTTCTTTTATATGTTGCCTTGGTCATAGTGCTTTATCCAACAATAGAAAAGTGACCAAAACAGATAAAATTCATAAGCATTTTCTTTTTGTATTAAAAAAGAGACAAAGTCAGGTACAGTGGCACACAGCTCTAATCCCAGCACAGGAGAGGAGGAAGCAGTAAGAGTCCGAGTTAAAATCTGAGGCCAGCCAGAACCACAAAGCAAAACCTTATCAGGAGTGGGTAGAGAACGACAAAAGCAAATTCAAGATGGCAACCCGAGTTAGACAAAGAAAGGAATGTGAGAAATATAGAGTACAGTAACTGATCACAGTCAGCTCTTTGACCCTGTGAGTAGTGATTTAGTTTTCACTTTAAAATGGTTGGCTCACAAGTATTTATGTTTACCACTGGCTTCCATATGTGACACATAATCTGACATGTTCAAATTGTATATATTTTCTCTTTTTTGCATGTGTGCATGGTATGCATGCACATGTGTATGTATGTGAGAAGGCAGTGTTATACATACATACATACATATATATAGTGGCCTAAAGTTGACTTCAAATGTCTTTCTCAATTGCCCTCATATTATTTTCTGACAGCCTCTCATTGGACCCCAAACTCACCAATTTTTGTTAATCTAACTGCACAGCTTGCCCTGGGTAATCCCATCTCTACCCCCCTGGTGTTAGCATTATAGGAAGCTGCCAAGTCTGACTAGCTTTTATATTGGTTCTAGGGATCCAATGGGATCTTCATGTCTAGACAGCAAATGCTTTACTTACTGAGCTACACTCCAGGCCCAATAATCAAGAAAGTAGACAGAGAGGGTAAATCACTAATCCATCAAGGATGATTTCTATAGTCTATGATCAAAACAAAGGGAAAGGTATGTCTTTTGCCCATTTAATTAGCCTTCCAATAAAGATACTTTTTTCTCTGGGCATTAAATGATAGATAGGCTAGAAAGTACTTTTTATTTGGAGGTAGACTTTAAAAAACAAACAAAAGCTAAGGACTTCATTATTCCATTAGACAGATATTTGCTGAAACTGAAGATAAGCAAGCATCAGATTAGTTCTCTGAGAAGAAATTTAAGTTTAAACACTACAAGGATGGGGACCTGTCAGCCTGTTGTAAGACTACTCAATTTCTCTGTATTGATTAACTTATCGATTTATCCTTTGTTTTATATAAACTTTCCAATCCTTAGACTCAAGAACACATACACACTGGAAAACATGATGAAATGATTCAAAAATTGAATATCAGGAAGTGATTGAAGTACAAAGCTTCATTTTGTAAATTTTTTATTTATTCTTTTTGAGACAGGCTCTCTCTGTGAAGTCCTGGCTAGCCTGGAACTTGCTATGTAAACCAGACTACACTCAAACTTACAGAGATCCACCTGCCTTTCTCTTCCAAGTGCTGAGACTAAAGATGTGCACCCTGTAAAAGTTTCATCTTTATAAAAAAATACAATAATTGATTTATATAGGTTTATTTTGATTTATAAGAATTAACAAGTAGCATTAGTTTGACTACAAGCTACATCATTTTCATTTAAAACAAAAGGGGTCAATCACTTACTGTGTATCAAGAACTGTGCCAGACACTGAGGATACAAAGATGAGTAAGATACGATTTCTTCTGTCAAGGAGCTCATAGTCTGGTGAGGAGACAACCCTGCAAACACAAAAGTTTTCAGTGTGACGCAGAATGCTACGTACTTCCTCTGGAGCACATAAGGAAAGCAGATAAGCTTTAGTCAAGTAGCAGAGGCATCACAGAGAAAATAACTTGCACATGTAACTTTTTATTTTTTTTAAAGACTTATGCTACACATGGTGGCACACACCATTAATCCCAGCACTCTGGAGGCAGAGGCAGGCAGATCTCTATGAGTATGAGTCTACCATGTCTCAAAAACAAACAAACAAGCAAACAATTATGTGTATGAATGTTTTGCCTGTGTTGGCCTGAAATAGATTCATGTTTGAATGTTTGACCCATAGGGAGTGGCACTAGAAGGAGGTGTGGCCTTGTTGGAGGAAGTGTCAGGAAGGAGGCAGGCTTGGAGGTCTTATATGTTCAAGCTAGGCCTTGCAATGATAGTCTTCTGATGCCTGCAGATCAAGATGTAGAACTCTGAGCTCCTCCAGCACCATGTCTGCCTGCATGCCGCCATGTCCTGCCATGATGATAGTGGACTAAACCTCTGAAACTGTAAGCCAGCCCCAATTAAGTGTTTCCTTTATAAGAGTTGCCACGGTAATGGTGTCTCTTCAAAGCAACAGAAACCCTAACTAAGACAGACTGAATGTGTATCTATACACCACATAATTCCTGGTGTTCATGGTGTTCAGAAGAGGATCTCCTAAAATGGAGTTACAGAAAACTATGAGCCACCATAGGGGTATTAGGAATAGAATCTGGGTCCTCTAAAAGAGCACCCATCTCGCCAGTCTCACAATTCTTTAAAAATATTTTTTACATATCTGTGCATGTATGTCACATGTGTATGCAGATGCTTGCAGAAATCAGAAGTGCTTCGTGGAACTGGAATTACAGGTAGTTGTGAGCTGTCAAACGTGGACACTGGGAATCGAACCTGGATCCTGTAGCACAAATAATAAAAACCAAGAGACAGATACTGGGGTTCAAGCTGAAGATCAGAAAAGCAAAGAGGCCGAAAAGCAAAGAGGCCATCCACTGGCTCTTATCGCTACTTCAGGCCGAAATGTGTGATCCTGCCTCCATAAATCCTCAGGCTGAGATTGAGACTGATAACCTGTCTCCTCCTGTTTTATAATCCTCTCGAGTACTGGGATTAAGGGCCTGCACCACCACCTCTTGGCATCTATGGCTAACTAGTGGGGCTGCTGACCACTACCTGGTCTGTATGGCTGACTACATTGTCCTCTGATCTACAGGCAAGCTTTATTTATCAAAACCACTACAGGTTCCTCTACACAAGCAGTAAGTACTACTGCCACGGAGCCATCTCTCCAACCCTCATACAATTCTTCAGGACAGAATTACAAAGAGCTGATGGTATGGCTGGGCAGTGGAACAAGAGGACAAAGAAGCTAAGAGGGAAATAAAATCCTAACTACACTGTGCACAAAACTGTAGGTTTATGCTCATATATACTGAGGGGCTTCAATAAGGAAAACTGTATTTGGAATGATAACTTTGGCAACTATGAAGCTACATTCAAAGAAGTGAGTTTAACTAAACAAGCACATTGGCAACATGAAAGAAGTACTGGGGTAAAGAAGGAGCATTCCATAGCTGAGGATTAATAATAAAAAAATGTAACTAATCTGAAACTAAGATTTTCCACTTCAGTGCGGGCAGACTATGGTGTCATAGCAGCAGACGAGGAGCACGTGGGAGACAATACAAAGTTTTCAAGAGCCAGTTCTGTGGTTGAATGCTGAGGACTTCCTTTCCAGTCCCGCCACTTAAGAATCATGTTCTAAGTTCTCTGTATCAGTATAACAAGAAAAACAGAGCCATCACCTCATGCTAGAAGGAGGACTGACTCATAACACGCAGGCCTTAGGATTTTGATTGCACGGTGCAAAACAACCACCTATCAAAAGCTAGTTGTTATTCTCATTTTAAGAAGTTAGACAGTTTTCATTTGGGATATGATGTTCAAAAACTTGTAAATATCCCGTTATCAGAGACAGCTAGGCTTAGATCAATGGAGAAGAAATATATGAAGTAAGTTCGTCAGAGACCTTAATCACAGAAGAAAACAGGCTTGTTCATGGGGGAGACATTCTGACACAGTTATTGAGAGGGCTAAGAAAAAGTGCTGATCAACCACCAAGCAATATTAATTCAGTGTTTTTCATAAACCTTCAGGGACAACAATCTGCATGTTAGTATGGCTATTTCCCAATAGTATTTGGTATCCAGCATGTGAGAATAGAAAAAGACTGTAGGGCCAATTCAGATTCAAGAACTCGGAGAGTAAGGGAAGCAAGAGAAATAGCAAAGTCTGACTTTCACTAAATTTTTCAACAAAGTAGATACTCAGCCAAATAAGATTGGGTTAAAATCTATGTGTAGAGGAGATAGCATGTACATCTAAGCTGATTTTGTCCACTTCAACCCTTTGAAAATGCCACAGGATTTTTTTTATTATTTATTATGTATACAATATTCTGCAGGCCAGAAGAAGGCACCTCATTACAGATGGTTGTGAGCCACCATGTGGTTGCCGGGAATTGAACTCAGGACCTTTGGAAGAGCAGGCAATGCTCTTAACCACTGAGCCATCTCTCCAGCCCCATCACAGGATTTTTATTCAACTGCTGAGAATATAAGAGAATCCTAAATATAGGCAATAAGCTGTATTTCTAGTACTCTGAAACTAGAGAACTATCAAATCCTCATGTAGAAACTGGGGAAAGGAAGCTAGGTTTGGTGGCATACACCTTTAATCCCAGCACTCAGGAGGCAAAGGCAGGTGACTCTCTGTAAATTCAAGGCTAGGTAGGGCAACATAATGAGTTCTAGGACAGCCAGAGTTATACCATGAGACACTGCCTCAAAAACAGCACCAAAAAGAAGAATGGGAGGGGAGGAAGAAAATGGAAAAAGGGTTGTTTGTTGTTGTTTCTGAGAATGAGTCTCACTAAATCACTAGGTAGCCCAAACTGCCCTCAGATCCTGAGTGCTCAAATTACAGCATGCACTACCAGCTCTAGAAGATGTATCTAATTGCCTGCTCACTTCAGGATGCCATTGTAAATAAAAGCAATAAAAGAAAATAACAACACTCCCCTCCCAAAAAATATCTGCTTAGAACGACCTGACTTGTCTGCACACTCAGTATGCACTCAGCATAGTATTAAGGCTTTTGAAGGCCAGTGACATACCGTCACAGTTACTTAGGCCTGGATCAATGAATGAATACATGCATTGATATCTGTAAAGAACGGCACAGACAGAAAACAAGAGAAGAAAAAGTACAGATTCAACAACAGGGAATCTAGTTTTAGAGGCAATATTAAAAGAAAGGAAACAACCCAGTAACAAATATGGCAGGGAGCATCAGGTACTAGAAATGCTTGGCCAAAGACAGGGAACTAAAACGTTACAAATCCTGAACCAAGACAGTTATTGTAACAATAGCACAAAATTTAAAACTCAGCAAATGTAAAAACGATAAATGTGGATGAACCTATTAGCCTGGTTAATACCCAATTTAGCAACTCGAAAGCACACACAAAAAATTATTTTATAAAAATGTAAGCTGTAAAATATGCGATTTAACTTAAAATAAAACAAGAATGTTGCTTCTACATAAAAATATAACGTATAAAAATATATTGCTAAGTATTTTAATAAATTTATAAAACATGACAAAGATAGGAAAATAGCTTTGTTTGTCCAGGACCATCCACATTTTAGTTTTCCATCCTTGGAAACTCCTCAATTCTGTGGAAACTGAGACATTCAATAGTCTTAGTGACCAAGGTAATGACTCTACCTGTATTCACTTTTTCTATGGATCTCAAACTAACAGAATCCTGTGATAAAGCATTTTCTCTGTTTCTTAAAAGTGTAGAAAGAAAACCAGATCAGTTATATAGAACTAAGCAAGGTTCAAATCACACCACAAGGACAGCATATGAGAGACAGGAAGAAAAGAAACACCCAATGTCTCTCTTAGCTCTCAGAAAAATTTCTAACAAACTCTAAATCATCACTTGACTCCTAAAGATGCAGATTCCTGCATAAACTCTTAACACTCAGTCCATCTGTTCTTCCCATCCCAGGCCTTCATCCCCGCTGAACGGTCCCTTGACAAGGGAAAGGGAAGATCTTTATAGCCATACCAGCACCTCGTCTCTTGAGCTTGCCAATCTCCAACTTTTCATTAGCACAAGTGACTCATCCTGATCTGATGGGCCCTGTTCTACACACAACCCCAAAAAAAGCTGTCCCTAGCACTGTGCTCACTTTTCTTCTCAGGCATGCGCAGCAGTGCCATGAAGCTTTTATTTGAATGTACTCTACTTCTGGGCTACATTCCAGCTGTCTTATAGGAGACTGTGTATTGTAGTGTTGTCTCTTTTCTTTCCCTCAAAACCATCATCAGAACAACCATGAACCTTCCTCCCTTATTTGCCCCAATTAACTTAGAGAGTCACTTGAGTCCAGGAGTTCAAAAGCAGCCTTAGCTAAATGAGACACTACATCAAGAGGAAGAAATAAATTATCATCATAATTTTTTATAAAGTGTACAAATTAAAGCAAAAAACCCTCTTCCAAGAGTCATCAATCTAGAAAGAGCACTATTTTACAATAAAATAAATTTAAAGTCCCAATAAATAGCTAAAACAGGATACTTAAATTATTCTGCACCTTAGTTTCTTCCTAAATGAGAAATGGATAACAAAAAAACTGGATGATTTTTTAAGAATTTTAATTATTTTACTGAAAATACTACTTATCTCATAAAGCAAGAAATATTAGTAAGTCACCCATTACTGTACCAATCTAACTCAGAACCATTTCATTTTATACTATCATTTTTCTCAATCACACTGTTTACTTCTACTCCACAGTCCATTTACAAAAACTGTCAAATACAGATCTGGTGGAATCCTTACCTAACTAATATCAAGACATTAAATATGTAATTTATGTTCATGTTTGGAAAA